TGATGATGATGGTGGTGATGGTGACAGTGATGGTGATGGTGGTGATGATGATGATGATGATGATATGATGATGATGATGATGATGATGATGATGATGCTGATAATGATAATGATGCTGAGGAGGAGGATGATGATGATGATGGCGATACTGATGCTGATGCTGATGATGATGTTGATGCTGATGCTGATGATGATGTTGTTGATGCTGCTGCTGATGCTGATGATGCTGATGCTGATGCTGATGCTGATGATAAGGCTGATGCTGATGATGATGAGGATGATGATGCTGATGATGTTGATGATGATGAGGATGAGGATGAGAATGAGGACGATGATGGTGCTGATGCTGATGCTGATGATGATGCTGATGCAAGATGATGATGAGGATGAGGAAGGAGGATGACGGTGATGCTGATGATACTGATGCTGATGATGAGGAGGATGAGGATGAGGATGATGATGCTGATGCTGATGATGATGATGTTGATGATGATGCTAATGCTTATGCTGATGATGCTGATGATGATGTTGTTGATGCTGCTGCTGATGCTGATGATGCTGATGCTGATGCTGATGCTGATGATGCTGATGCTGATGATGCTGATGATGATGATGTTGATGATGATGATGATGATGATGATGATGATGATGATGCTGATGCTGATGCTGATGCTGATGCTGATGCTGATGCTGATGCTGATGCTGATGCTTATGATGAATGCTGATGCTTATGATGATGATGATGATGATGATGATGATGATGATGATGATGATGATGAGGAGGAGGAGGAGGAGGAGGAGGAGGACGAGGAGGAGGAACAGGAGGCGGAAGAGGAGGAGGAGGAGGAGGAGGAGGGAGAAGAAGAAGAAGACGAAGAAGAAGAGACGAGGAGGAGAAGGAGTGGGAGAGGCAGGAGGAGGAGGAGAAGGAGGAGGAGGAGAACGAGGAGGAGGACGACGACGACGATGAGGACGTCGGCATTCTCCTCGTCCTCCTCGTCCTTGTCGTCCTTCTCCTTGGTATCTCCTTCGCCGCATCCTCGTCGCCGTCGTCGTCCTCCTCCTGCTCGTTCTCCTCGCCGCCGTGACGGGAGGCGGGAGAGGAGGGGGCGAAAGGCGAGGAGGAGGAGGAGGAGGAGGAGGAGGAGGAGGAGGGTGAAGAGGAGGACCAGAGTAAGCCCGAAGTGCACCAACGATTTTGCCATACTTGATATTCGTTCGAGGCCGGATGCCTCGAGCCGCTCGCACGGCTGTCCCTCCTCTGTTCCCCCTTCTTCTTCCCTCGCCTTTACTTTTCCCCGACGCCATGACTGCGCAGTTCCCCAACTGCATGGACAGAGGTTTGGCTTCCCCCTCCGCCCTTGCCTCGTTGTCCTCCTCCTCCTGCTCATGCTCCGCCCTGCCTCTCCTGCTCCATCCGCCGCATCCTCGCCTTCCTTGCAGATTCATCCTCCCTCCTCCGTCCTCCCTTCTCCTCCTCCTCCTCGTTCTCCTCCTCCTCCTCCTCCTCGTTCTCTTTCTCTTTCTCCTCCTCCTCCTCCTTCTCCTCCTTGTCTTCTTCCTCCTCCTCCTCCTCTCCTCCTCCTCCTCCCTTCCTCCTCCTCCTCCTCCTCTTCTTCCATTTCCTCTTTCTCGGCTCTTCCTCCTCGTCCCTTCCTCCTCCTCCTCCTCCTCCTCCTTCTCCTCCTTCCTTGCTTCACATTACCTCCATCATCTTTGCCATCACCGTCATCATCCGCCCTCGCTTTCCTCCTTGCTCTCTTCCTCCTCCTCTCCTCCTCCTCCTGCTCTCCTCCTCCTCCTCCTCCCTCCTCCTCTCCTCCTCCTCCTCCCCTCCTCTCCTCCTCCTCCTCCTCCTCCTCCTCCTCCTCCTCCTCCTCCTCCTCCTCCTCCTCCTCCTCCTCCTCCTCCTCCTCCTCCTCCTCCTCCTCTCGCTGCGGCTGCTACTACTGCTCCTTTCTACTCTCGAAGACGATGGGCAACGCGGCACAGCAGAATGAGCGACTGGAACGCCCAGGAGTGGACGTTCGCTGCGTCCGTAGGTTCCAGGCCCTTTCCCCCTCCTCCTCCTCCTCCCCTTCCTCCGCCAGTGGCGAGACGCGCGCCATCCTGCGAGATCTACGCCGCCCGCCCCCCCCCAGGCCTGTCGCGCAGGGACCCCGAACCACTCGACGCCGCGCTCTGCTCGCGCGACGCGGGCTCCGGAGCCCTCGACCCCGCTGCCCAGGGCGAGCTCATCGCCAGGGCTCGATCTGAACGGTTTTTAAGTCGGAGGCGGCGGATCCGGAGTCGGGGCAGTTCGCTGTGGGGGTGGGGTGCAGAAGTCCGATCTCCATCCCAGCTTCCTGCCTCCCTCCCTCCCCTTCCCTTCTTCCCCTCCCTCCTCCCTCTTTTTGTCCCTCTCTCCAAGTCTTTTCCCACTCCCTCCCTCCCTCCATCTGCCTCCCTCCCCTCGCCCTCCCTCCCTCCCTCCCTCCCTCCCTTCCCCCCTCCTCCCTCCCTCCCTCCCTCTCCTCCCTCCCTCTCCTCCCTCCCTCTCCTCCCTCTCCTCCCTTCCTCCCTCTCTTCCGTCCCTCGCTCACTCCCTCCCCGCTCCCCTCCTCCGACCTCCCCGCAGCTGGCCGTTTCCGCGCGGGTGCGCCCCCCGCCGACCGCCCGCCAGAGCTCACCACAGGGGCCGGCCAGGCCCAACACCGCGCGCCGGCAGGCCACCATGGGCGAGGAGCCGCGCCCTTCCCTCCTCCGTGCTCCCTCGCGCCCTCGCCCGCTCCCTCCTTCGCGCCCTCCCTCCCTCGCCGCTCTCGTCCGCCTGCCTCCTCCGCCCCGCTCCTCCCTCGCCCTCGTCCGTCTCCTCCCTCCCGCCTCCCGCCTCCCGCCTCCCGCCCCCCCCCCCCTGGGGCCCCGGGCCGCCTCCCGCCTCGTGTTCCTGCTCCGTCCCTCCCTCCTCCCCATCCCTTCGCTCCCTCCTCCCTCCCCCTCTCGTCCTCCTCCCCGCCAGGAGGACGAGGAGAGCGAGGGCAGGACGCAGACGAGGTTGAGATTGAGGACGAGTAGGAGGAGGAGGAGGAGGAGGAGGAGGAGGAAATGAGACGACTGAGGTTGAGGACAGAGGAGACAGGAGGGGGTATTGTAAGAAGAGGACACAGCGACGGGCGAGGGGCAGTTGTGCAATGAGGAGCTTGATGATTATGGTGTTCGCATTCGGCGTAGTATCCCTCTTGCTGTTCCCCAGACATGGTTTGCACCAGGTTTTCTTACTTCGGTTGTGAACAATTTTTACTGGACTTTCCAGGTGTTCGACCAGCCCCCGCCCGCGGGCGCCTCATGGGCGCTTCTTGCGCTGGTTGGCGTTCTTAGGGGTTTTCGGCCGCTGCCCGCTCCTGGGCGCCTCGTTGGCGGCCCGGGCGCCGGCTGGCGTTGCTGGGACTGCGAGGGCCAGAGGACCGCAGAACCGCAGAGGTGGGCCTGCTCGTGTCTTCCTGCTTGCTGTGCACGCATGTGCGTGTGTGTGTGTGTGTGTGTGTGTGTGTGTGTGTGTGTGTGTGTGTGTGTGTGTGTGTGTGTGTGTGTGTGTGTGTCTGCAGTCACCGTCTGCCCAGCCGCCGACGCAAACAGTGTGTGTGTGTGTGTGGTGCGTGCGTGCGTGCGTGCGTGCGTGCGTGCGTGCGTGTGTGTGTGTGTGTGTGCTTGTGCGTGGGTGTTTGTTTGTGTGTGTAAGTGTGTGTGAGAGAGAGAGAGGATGAGCGGTGCAGCGGAAGCAAACCGAGGACCCAACTCCACAGGAGTATTGGGGTTCAAAACGAATTTTCTCCTCTTTGGTCAGGGTCGGCCTTCCATTTTCCGAACTCGGAGGGCCCCTGGAGGTCCCCCGAGGGCTTCAGAGGCCCCTGGAGGCTTCCTTAGGGCCAAGCAGCCAGAAGCCATCACAAACTCCACAACTTCCATCTTCGACTCTCCACCGTGCTCGATCCTCGATCTTCCTTCCTCTCCCAGATTTTCAACGCTGTGTGTATTTCAGTGGGGGGTATCCAGAGGCACCTACTCCCGAGGGCCTGTTGCCTCCCTCGATGCATTTTTTTGACGGCCCCGGGGTCCGAAAACGTTCCCCCCCTCCCCCTCTTCTCCCCCCGGAGGCCGAAACTGAAGACACAACGTTGATCCTCGATCTTTGTGCTCCTCGTCGGCGTCCGTCCTCGTCGTTGTCGTCGTCCTCGTCGCCGTCCTCGTGGTGGTCCTCGGCGTTGTCCTCCTTGTCCTCGGCCTTCTCGTTTCCTCCTCCTCCTCCTCCTCGTCCTCCTCGTTTCCTCCTCCTCGTCCTCTTGCTTTGCCGCGCGTATGAGGAGGGCAGCTGGGACAACACCCTCGAGGAGTGGCTTCTGGGCGAGGGCTTCTGCTGCGCCGCGGGCCTGGCGCAGCTCGAGGATGGGGCGTTCTACGCGGCGGCGCCCGTGGCGGATGAGGCCGGGTGGGGCATGATCTTCGCAGAAGACCACGAGAAGGACTTGTCCTGTTGTTGCTCCTATTTCTCCTCTTCCCTCCTCATGCTCCGTTGTCGTCTGCCTTCTCTCCTACTCCCTCCTGCCCTCCTACTCCTTCCTCCTTCCTCCTCCTTCTTCTTCATCTCCTCCTCCATTTCTCCCTACAGCCTGCTCCGCCTGCTCCTTCCTGACGCACCTCAGACATGTCGGTATGTCGGCCTGGGCTCATGCTTGAGATTTCTTCGCCGCTCACGTGCAAGGATGCAGGGCACGGTCTTTCCGACATGGGGCTTCGACGCCGCGCACGTTCGTGTCCAACCACTGCATCGCGTACAAAGATCGAGAGCGGTCCGTTTTCAAGAGGGGGCTCTCGCCCCCGCGCAGCGCCCTTTTGTTTTCAACAGCGCGTGCAACAGTTACAACGACGGATTGCGCCCGGCATTCGAAGTGAAGTTACCGTGTCAGTGTTTCTCAATCGGAACGGCCAGACTTGCGAACACCTGTGGTAACTACACGTTCAGGGCGGCTTTTTTTCAGCATATGTGCGCCCTGAATGTGTGTAGCCCTCACAGAAGCAGGACCAGATATAGCGGATCAGATATGTTCTCAGAAGGCTATGACTGATGTGCACAAGTGCGCACATCTGGTCATGAAGCTATCGCTTGATAGCGGCTCAAGTTTCATGACCAGATGTGCGCATTTGTGCAACCGTGACACGGCTGGGGGCGGCTCATCTTCAAAACGGGTCTCGCTGGACACGCCTTTGAACTTCATGATCCTGCCTTTACACGTCGTTATCACCCGCTGGAATGATGCAAGACAGTTGTCGGCATGATTCACTTACTCAGACGGGGGCCAGGACCAGTGCGGTGGCCAGTAGTCTCTTCCTCGGCTGCTGGTCGCCCTGCCTGGCTTTGTTTTTTGACTCCGACTACGTTTTGCGTGGCGGGATTTTTCCACACCTCCAACTACTTTCTCGGCCTTCGGCCGAGGGCGTCAACGGCATAAGCACCGTGTCGCCATCAACAGCAATGATGCAAGGCAGTTCCTTTTCAAAGCGGGGCTCTCGCATGAATAGCAAGCCCGCTTTTCTGCCAGTGGAGAGGAAGGCTTGTGGGGACTTGTCAGGTGGTGCCTTGGGACGGGAAAGCGTGCAGCAGCACCGTTGATACATCTTGGTTCTTACTCTAGTCCTCCTCCTCCTCCTCCTCCTCCTCCCTCGTTTTCTGGACCCTCGGGGCCCCCCGTCGTCGCCACGTTGTGGCGAAGTTTCAGATGTACGCTCACAACAGCTCTGACAACGGGTCGGGATCGCACCAAGCAAGGAGGAACTCACCTGGAGCGGATGTCTGGCTGGGGAGAGGGCGGGGCGCCGACGTCGGCGCGCCGTTGATGCTGCTCCTGCTGCGCCCTCTCCTCCTCCGCCCTCGCTCTCCTCCACCGTGCTCCTGCGAGTGACGCGTTCACCTCGCGCCCTCCCGCAGGGTGGCCCCGGCCGAGGTCCGGTGGGATCGGCCTGAAGGAGAGGAGGGGGAGGGCACGGACGAGGATTCCTCTTCCTCCTCCTCCTCTTCCTCCTATTCCTCGTCCTGCTCCTCTTCTTCCTCTTAGCCGTTCTGGCTCAGGCTGTTGTGGCCTGAGCTTGCAAGCGCGTTCTTCAGAGCGGCTCGCGCTTGCGAGCCATCCTTTCGTTCTTTCACGAAGAGGAGCCAGCGACCGCACCGCGAGCGGCGCATGGTTCCACAGCCCGATGTGCTGCCAGGCGCGCGCACCCCCTACTGGGGGTGCTCTTGCGGCTGCTGGAACAACTGGGCGAATCGAGTCAAGTGCAGGAGCTGCGGGGCGTCGGCACCCGCGAAGGTGGTCCAGGCGGCGCGCAGAGCTGCAGCGGCTGCCAAGAGCCCCTCGGTTTCGGTCAAGCAACGTGCTCAGGGAGCCTGGGCCGATGGGCCGCCAGGAGGGGCCGTCGCGGCCGAGCAGGCGAGGCTCATCCAGGAGCTGCGTGTCCAGGTGGCGGAGCTCAGCGGCAAGCCGGCGCCGCCAGCGCCCCCTTGGCACGAGCAGCCAGCGGGCGCCAAGGCGAATGGCAGTGGCAAGGGGCAAGGCCCTGCTGGAGGCGGCCCGCCGAAGGCCAAGGGCGTGGCGCCAGCGGCCGCTGCAGGGCTCTCTCATGAGCAGGTGGCGGAGTTCCTCAAGAGTGAGGGCCTTGAGGACGCCCATGCTGCGGTCTTGGCGGCAGCGCAGACCAAGGCCGCGGCGCCGCCCAAGCCGCCCACCACCATGTCGGCCTGGTGGAAGGTGGAGAACCTCAAGAAGAAGATCCAGAAGGCAGAGGCCCGCTGCGTGGACATCAACGAGCAGAGGGCGGCCCTCGATGAGGAGTTGGACGGCATCCAGAAGGGGATCGCCCAGGCCAAGGCGGACCTCGTCGCCGCCCGTGGAGTGCTGGCGAAGCTCCAGGCAGGAGAGCATGAGAACCCTCTCAAGGTGCTCACGGCGGGGCTGGAACCTGCGGTGCTGTCCACGCAGGAAGGCAAGGACGCCCTTGCTGTCCTCGAAGAGCTGCAGCGCAAGGCGGCTGCGGAGGCGGAGGCAGCCAAGCAGGCGACCGAGGGTGAGGACGTTCGCCCAGGCCCTCCTGGCGATCATGGTGCTGATGCTGGGAGCCAGGCAGAGGATGCCCCTGGAGATGGAGGTGAGCACCAGGCCGTCCCCATGGACGAGTCCGACTTCCTGGAGGCCGATTTCCAGGAGTCCCTCAAGCGTGCCATGGACGGCGAGGGGGACACGTCTGCAGCCGTGGCCAAGCTGCTCGCCGAGCACACGGCCAAGAAGGCGCGTCGGGGGTGACGGCAGAGAGCGGGTTGATGCAGACCCACCGGCGACCAGTGCCCCCGTGCCAGCGGCGAGGGCGGGCTTCGGCATGGCCGACCTCGACGCGTTCACCAGGGGCAACATGATCGACTTCGACTGGGAGCAGGCGACGGGTTTCGCAGTCCCAGTGCGGAGGGACGACCTTGTCTTCGACACGGAGCTGTTCCGCCAGTTCGACGGGGTCGGTCTGGACCCACGGCAGTGGCCTCGCCTGGGCCACGGAGCTTCCGACAGAGACGGACGGTCTCGAGGAGCTGCCCCCCCTCGGGTCGAGGACCCTCGAAGAGGGTCAGGGCCAGGGACATCGCCTTCTGGGTCGTCCTCGACCCCGATTGCATCACTGTCTCTTATGTCGCGCGAGGTGGGACCCCTCGGTCGCAACGGGGCTGGGGGCCTTCCCCGCGAGTCCACATCTACTTCGGGTACCGCCGCGGGGTCGGCGGCTCCCGCGTCTTCGGGTACCACGTCGGGAGGAAGTACCAGGACGTCTGGAGGCGCATCTGTGGGGCGGAGAGGCCCGCGCCACCTCTCCTCCCCACCTGTTCATGGGCATGGTGTGTTGCAGGCTTGCGTCGCATCTGGAAGTGATGGGCCCTGTGTTCTCGGTGGAGGCCTGGGCGATTTCATGGAAGGATGTGGCGGTCTGCCTCCACCTGCGGCAGGGGCAGCGGTGTGTCGAGCTAGCCCCGACGGTGCCCAAGGAGACTTGCCCGCTGAGCGGAAAGGGCTACACCATCTCTCGTCCCCACCTGGCGATGGACGCAAAAAAGGAAAACTATGTCAGGACGGCGTGGTTCGAGGAGTCGGCCACGCGGGCACGATCGTCAGCGATCTGATCATTTTTGGAGTGAATGCGAACACGTGGGACTCATTCACTAATGTGGTTGACTGGTGTAGGGACCAAGAAGCGAACCTCTTCGGGGTGGTGTCGGCTTCAGGCGAACCAGTCAAGCCGCATGTGATCTGCGTGCAAGAGACTCGGCTGAAGGAGAAGGGTAAGTTGGACTCCGCCTATGGCTGGGGTGATCGCCGCTCCTTCGCTTTTACTCTAGGACCAGCAGCGTCTACTGGGCCAGGTCCGTCACAGTCCTCGGCAGGAGTAGGCTTGGGAGTGGCCAGCTCCCTGGCGTCCTCTAGTGTGCCAAGGCCACCCGAGTTGGAACCTTTCAAGTCGCGAGTGGCAAGCAGGCACATCAACGTAGGACTTCCAGGTGGGTTGATGGTCTTCTCGGTCTACCTCTACACCAGCATTGGAGTCGCAGGGGACAACGTTGAGGTATTGAACACTCTCGGAGAGTACATCAAGTCCCTCACCTGCCTCTGGATCGTGCAAGGGGACTGGAACCTCACGCCTGAGGAACTCGAAGCATCGGAATGGGTGTCCAAGGTTGGGGGATGTATGTTTACGACGGGCCACGCTACGTGTCGATCAGGGCCCGCTCCAGGATCCAGTTCAGGGCTCGAGGAGGAGGTCGACAGGAAGGATGAGCGGGAGATCGATTTCTTCGTGGGGTCCAGGTGTTTGGGGCACTGCGTCAAGGAGGTCCTGGCGTTCCCTGCAGCCCCCTCGTGGCCTCATATGCCTGTGGGTATCGTTGTCAAGAACCTGGCCCCGTCGACGGTTGTCCCGAAGCAGGTTAGATACGCGCAGTTCCCCTTGGACAAGCTTGTGGGTCCTCGGAGGCTCCCTACGGAAGGCACGTGGTCTTGGGAAGTTGGAGGAGGCTCGCACTGTTTGGGGTCCATGGTCAGGGAATGGTTCACCCAGGCCGAGGGCTGGCTCGTGCAGTTCCACGACCTAGACAGTGCTAGCGTGGCCAGGACGTGTGGAAGAGCTGGGGGTCCAAAAGTCACTAAGGTTCCCCTCGAGACGGTTTGGGACCGAGAGTCTAGGAGAAGATATTCAAAGCGGACCACCAGTTGGATGTCCTTCGAGGCGTTGGCTCGTCGAGCTGCTGCAGTTGGCCCAGATATGCTAGGCGCCAGAGCTCGCGGTCTTTTTCATGAATGGTGTGCCGCCCTGTTCGGGATGATCTCGGCGCTGGAGGCGCCAGACGAAGGCACGAATGTCCGATTTTTGGTCAGCCTAGTCGAAGGGATATCCATGGGGCTCAGAGATGAGTTAGAAGGGCTGTTCGGGCAGTTACGAGAGTATGTAGAAGGCCTGCGAAAGTCGGACGCCAAGGAGTCCCTATCGGAGTGGAAGGAGTGGGCTAAGTCGTCAGTGCAGCGGGGAGGGAAGGCAGCGCATGCATATTCCAGGGTTTCTCGCGCAGACAGGACGGTCCCGTTCAGTGTCGTAGACGACCACGGCCGCTTACCAGTCAACGGTGAGCTCGCGCTCCTCCAGCTTCTAGATCAGTGGCTTCCCCTCTGGCACAAAGAAGGCAGGCTCAGCAAAAATCACCCAGCTCATTGGGATGTGTTGGGACATGATTTGCCACCTATCTCTCTGGAACAGTTGAGACGTGTGTGTAACTCGTATGGGGAAGGGGCTGGTCTTGGGTGGGACTCCTTCCATCCCCGCCAGATCTTGTTTCTCCCAGAAGAGTATCAATTGCGTGTTATCGACGTCCTTCGCTCGTTCGAGGATCGACCCTGTGTGATTGCAGAGTTTTTGACGAATATCATCTTCCTCGACAAGCCAGATGGTGGAGTACGCCCGATAGGATTATTGTGCTTGTTCACCAAGATCTGGTCGAAGTGCCGTCAAAACATCTGCCGTACCTGGGAACAGGCCCATGAGCAGGCCTTCTTCTGGGGCGTTGGGGCCACGTCGACCTGTGAGCGAGCAGGATGGGTCCACAACATGCTGGCCCATTTCGGAAAAGTCCTGGGGACCTCGGCGGCGACGGTGCTCCTGGACCTTAAGAAGTTCTATGAGCACATCGACCACATGGACTTGTATCGTGCGGCGTGCCAGCATGGTTTCAATTTGAAGCTCCTGCGAGGGTTGTGTGTGATTTATGCAGGGGATAGGATGCTGCACTATGGAGGGGCGGTATCTAGGAAGGTGCAAGGTAATGGGGCAGTGATTGCAGGGTGCTCAGCAGCTACCACGCTTACGAAGTTGCTTTTGTTGTCGCCGCTCTCGGCCGCGCAGTCTGGCCGGCCGCAGCTGTGCATCCGTAACGTGATAGACGATATCGCGCTGCAGATTGTTGGTCCGCAGCAGCTCATTGCACCGCAGCTCGCCGCAGGTGTGCAGTCCCTGTTGTCCAGTTTCTCGGAGCTCGCGCTCCCCGTCTCGGAAAAGTCGAAGTACATGACTAGCGACTCGGACTTGAATGAGGCCTTGCAGCCCCTGTGGGACCTCCCGAAGGAAAGCAAGGTGGACCATGCAAGGAACCTCGGCACCGACGCGGTGATGGGGTCCCTACGGAGGGTTCAGATCACTCGGGACAGGTGGGACAAGGCCAGAGGGAGGACGATTAAGATTAAGAAGCTCAGGGAGGCGGGGGCCAACACGGGGTTCATTCAGCGTGGAGGCCCTACGGCGTCGGCTCTATGGGGGTCCAGCATCATGGGGATTCCTCCGACCCAACTGCATCGTCTTCGATTGGGAGCTGCTGGAAGTCTCGGGAAGGTCCCCAAGGGCTCCACGGTCGGGCTCCGTCTCTTGAGCTATGCTGAAGGGGTCCGAGTGGACCCGCTGCTGTTGAACATCGGGATGGTTGTGTTCCAATGGGCGGCGGCGGTCTGGGAGTCGTTTCCGAAGCTACCTGTTTTGGAACGGTGTCTTGAAGGAGCCCTGGGCCGTCTCGAAGGAGTCCAATCACCTTGGAGGCAAGCAGCAGCCCCAGCTGAAGTAGCAGTGCTCAGTCTTCGCAGGATAGGCTGGAGGTTGAGGTCAGGAGCGTGCATGGTCACGGATCGGCAGGAAGCACTTGACCTTCGTGTTTTACCTCCAGCGCTAGTTCAGGAGCTAGCAGTTGCAGGAGCCAGGCGAGCTTCCGATCGCCAGGCTCTTTTTTGTCGCGAGCCCAAAGCCAGGTGGAATATGCCGATATTTTGGGCAGGACTGGAGGGGCTCCTGCATCGAACCAAGGGATCCTGGACGAAGAGGTTTCAGAGGACGTTGAGATCGTTGGTTTCTGGAGGACACTGGCCACAAAGTCGGCTTCACCACCATGGACTTGTTGGCTCAGCGAGGTGTCTTGTATGTGGAGATCCCGAAGGGTCCTTGTGGCACAGGGCGTACGAGTGCCCAAAGCATGCAGGGCTCAGGCGTGAATGGGTTGACGACTTCCACAGGACGAGGGCTCGCAGGGTCCGCGAATGGGGGTACGACGAGGGGGAGAGGTTTGCGAGAGGCCTGTTCCCGTCGCCAGAGTTGGTCTTCCACGTCGCGACCGAGCCCCAAGAGACCATTTTGTGGCACAACAGACCTGAGTCAGGGCTCCTGACTGGCACGCTGTTCTTAGACGGTTCGGCCTTATGGGCCTCGGCCCCGTTTTTGGCCCGAGCGGGCTGGGCCATCGTGCAGGTGGATAGGTTTGGCGAGGTTATTTCGGCGGCCTACGGGCCCGTCCCATGTCGCATTTGTCCTAAGCAGAGTTCTAGAGACGCGGAGGATTACGCCGTCTCGATGCTGCGCGTTTGCGCTATGGCGCCCTTCGACGTCTTCATCGACTGTGCAGGCACTGTTGGGACTCTCCGTGGCGGCGCGGGCGCTGGATCCCAAAACAGTTGTGGTCGGGCCCAGCTCTGGAGTCCGTTCTGGGGTGCGTTCTCCGAAGGGGACTTCCAAGTGTTTAAAACCAAGGCCCACTGTACCAGAGCCCAGGTTGATGCGGGTGTCACCACGGAGTGGGAGTACAGAGGGAACGCCCACGCCGACAGGTTTGCAAAGCTTGGTGCTGCGGAGCACGGCGTAGGCGAGGAGCAATTTCAGTTGTGGCAAGGCTTTTTGTTTTTAGCCCAAGAGTCCGCCCGTTGGGCGGCTTGGGTGCACGTAGAGTCCAATGGCCAGGACCACGAAGATTTGATGGATGCGTACTGGAGGTCTCGGGGCTCTACTGCCGAGGAGGACCTTGAGACCCCAGAAGACCCCGAGCCAGAGCCCCAGGCGTGCAGCCGTGGAGGGGAGGTGGGGTCGCCGTACGGGGTGGGAGACGGGTGGGAAGAATATGCAGACGCCAGTTTTTG